AATGAATAAAAAATAAAATAAAATGATATAAAAGCCAGGCCTGGTAGCACAAATCTGTAATCTGAGCACTCTGGGAACTGAAGGAGGAAGGAACATCTAGCCTGAGCAATTTAGAGGCTTAGCAAGACCCTGTCTCAAAATTTAAAAAATTATAAGCCAAGCATAGTGGCACAAGCCAGTAATCTCAGCACCTGGGAATCTAAGTCAGGACTGCTACAAGTTCAAGGCCAGCCTGAGCTAGTGGGGGGAAAAATAAATTTATATATTTCTGCAGTACAGTGAAAAGGCCCTAAGTTCCTCAAGTTCAATCCCTAGTACCGCAAAAAGGAAAAGAAAGAACTCTATCCATAGAAAAACTTGCATGTAAATGTTCATAATAGCATTATTCACAATAACCAAAAAGTGAAGCAATCCAAATGTCCACTAACTGATGAATGAACTAACAAAATGGAGTATCATTCTGCCATAACATAAATGAACTTTGAAAATATGCTAGGTTAATGCAGTCAGGCACAGAAGAGCGCATGTTATATAATTCTATTTTTTATGAGATGTCTGGAATTGGTAAATCTTAATTTTAATTTAATTTAAATTTGCAGTAACAGGGATTGAACTCAGGACCTTGCACTTGCCAGATAAGCGCTTATTCTACCGAGCTATCTCCCAGCCCCAAGAATTGGTAAATCTTTAGAGGCAAAACCTGAACTGCATAGCGAGGCCCTATATCAAAAACAAAACAAACCCTCATAAATGGTTGCCTAGCTATATCTCCAGTGAAGGAGAGATGGATATGTTTGTTTCTTTTTTTTGCTGAAAAGTGAAAAAAAATGTAAAATTGATTGTGGCGATGGCTGTACAACTCTGGGACTACACTAAAACCACAAATTATACATTTAAAATAGGTGACGTCCATGGCATGTTAATTATATTTCAATAAAATTTCTATTTAAAAATACTGTTTTAGAGTGGACACATAGTTCAGAAAAAGAACATTTGCTTAACATGCAGTGGGCCCTAGGTTCCACCCTCAAACCAAAAAGAAAAATCACTGGACTCACGCCTCGCTGACCAGGGAGAGGGCCTCCTCCTGGGTTCCCCACCCCTCACCACGCCTCTCTCGAGGAGTAACAGAAACACCAGTGCTCCCTGACTCCAGGGCCCCTCAGACGCACAGCAACTGGACTCTGGACTCTGGACTCCTGTGTCTAAGGCACACACAATAAACTTTATTCTAAAGGTTTAGTCCACATAACATATACTTGGGCTTAGCTTGGTATACACGTCTTATTGTCTTAAGGCCTATGTTGTAAGGCTCTGATTAAAAAATAACTCACACCTTTAACCCCAGCCTTCTGGAGCCTAGGGCAAGAGGAATGCAGGTTCAGGCCTAGCCTTAGTGAAACTCTACCAGAAAATTTTAAAAAGGCCTGGGGATACAGCTCAATGTGAAAATCCTAAATAGAAAGTTACAAGTAACTCATAAACCAGGTGTGGTGGTGCACACCTGTAATCCCAGCACTCAGAAGGCTGAAGCAGGAAGATCGCTGTGAGCTTGGGGCCAGCCAGGGCTACACGGTGAGCTCAAAGCCAACCTGAACTGCATAGCGAGGCCCTAGGTCGAAAAAAAACCAAACCCTAATAAATATTATATTTACTTTGGCTGTTTGACTTTTTTAGTGCCAAATATAGGTAGTAACATTAGTTGAAAAGAAATTAGTAGTCTCTATGTATCAACATTTTTATTTAACAATTATTAGGAAAACTTGTCATTTTTTTATACTGTCTGTTTTGGTACTTTGAGCAATAACTTCCTGTAGCTTTTATTCATAAGATAAATTACACACAAATTACTTCCTTTTTTTGGACAAATCTTTTCTTTTTTTTTTTCTTTTTTTTTGATAAATGTGAACTAGGGAATTGTGAGAAAGCTAAGTCCAGCAAATGTTAGCCTTCATAAGGTTCTTTTTTTCTCTCTTTTCAAAGTTTTATTGATAAACATATAGCAATGAGACAGTTTCAAATCAAATCGAAAGTACAGTTTCAACAAATAAGGTTCTTGTATGATTTAGAAATCTTCAATCCGTAGTCGGGTTCATGGTTCAGCAGCAGGGTGGAATCATCAGCACCCTGCCCACCCCCTGCACCCGCCCTGTCCTTCACCCCCCACAGGACAGGGAGCTTCCTTCTGTGGCCCTCAACTAGCACAGCAAATGAGCTGTCATTTTCTTCACCAGCCAGAGTGACTGGCCAGAGAACAGACCTACTCATTTGAAAGAGCTATGCGGAAAAACAAACATGAGAACAGAAACTTTGTCTGCTCTTGTCCACGCATCCCTCTGAAGCAAATTCCATTTCTCTCTTTGGAAAGACTTGTTTCCACTACGTTTTGAACTAGGGACCTTTCACATTTGAGACAAACATGAGAATTACCACACTACACAAAGTGACTCAACTTCTCACAGTTCAGAGGTAATCTATCACACTTTCTGATAATGACAAATGTATAGACTCTATGTGTCAGTCACTGCCTTTTTTTTTTTTTTTTTTTTTTTTTTTTTTGTGGTATTGGGGATTAAACCAAGGGCCTTCTGGACTACATCCCCAGCCCATTTTTATTTTTATTTTTATTTTTGTTTTCTGAGTCAGGAGATTCGCTGAGCCACTAAATTGTCCATGCTGAGTTTAAACTTGCAATCCTCCTGCCTCAGTCTCTCAGAGTGCTGGGATCAGAGGTGTATGTTTCCACCAGACCCATCTTTGTCAGTCACTGTTCTAAGCATTCTACAAATGCTATCTCATTTCACCTATGCAAAACTTATTAATTAAATATCATTATAATGCCTATTTTATAGAGGAGAAAACTGAGGTATAGAGGTATTAGTACATCACCTATACATTTTTTAAAAATATGATTTTATGTTAATATGCTGTTCAGCAATTATTTATTCCCTCTTGCATATCTTCTTACCTCAGGATATAAATATTTCCATCTTTCAGAAGTACAAAATATCATATTCTATAATATTTTACAAGTTGGGCTGGTGAGATGGCTCAGTGGTCTAAAGCACCTACTTGGAACAAGCTTAGCAAAGCACAGGGACCGCGGTTCAATCCCCCAGCACCACATG